CCCCGCCGGCGGAGCAGCAGCGCACCGCGGCCGGCAGCGCTCCCGGGGACAGCCGCCCGCCCGCCCGCCTGGGGAGCGGCGCGTCCCCCGGCTCCGGGAGGCCTCTCCCTCCTTGCTCAGGGCGGCCCCGGGATGGCGGCGTGAGGCGGCGGCGCCGCGCGGTGAGTACGGGCCGGGGAGCGGCCGGGGCCCAGCCGGCGGGGCTGGCGGAGCGGGGGAGCGCTGCGAGCTTCGGGCGTCGTGGGGGGAAAGGGGGAAGCTTTCCCCCGCCGAGGAGCCCCGCGCTCGTAGCTCTGCGTGCGCCCTGGTGGAAAAGGCTTCAACCGACCCTGAGCTCGGTGCCAGCATGGAAATAACAGCACTGCGTGTGTGCCCTCCCTTCCTTCCTTCTGCTGTCGGCCACGAGCCTCTCTAGCTCTCGTTAGCGCCTTCTGAAAGGAAACCCGGGCCCGTTTGTCCCCAGGGCAGCACAATGCTCGGACAAGCTTTGTGCAGGCAGCTGGACGGCGATGGGCCTGGTGGGTCCCTTCCAAGCCGGGATGTTGGGTGATAGTCTGTGCATACAGCTCTCTGCAGCGCTGTTGTGTCCGGCCAGGCACCCTCCCCGAGCACCCGTACATGCTTTGAGCCGGCTACAAAGTGAGTTTACAGGCTCTTCTGTCATACGAACATTGCTCATGATAGCCCAAACATGCAAGTGCAAAAGAAGAGGAAAAACAAGCTCTTAAGTCCACAGCATGCTGAACTCTCCCATACTTGCTTGGTACTGAAACATTTCAATGGACCTTGCAAGTACTGTCATACTGTCATAGTGCAGTAACCTTTGTCTTTCCAAACTGTAGGTCATAACTCCTCATAGCTGCTCAAACAGCATTTTTGCTTTTTCTAATCTGAGATGCAGAAAATTCACCCTTATCAGGTTGTATTTGGACCTCTGAAGCCTGCTGAAGGCATGAAAGGTAGAGAAGAGGTCCAGATTAAAACTGCTTTTCTCAGGGAAGTTGGAATGGGCCTGGAAGTTGTGATCTGTAGCAGTTAGACAAAGGCAGAAGGTGGGAATGAGGACCTCTGAAAACGAATGAATTAGTACAAATGGAAGTAGTAATACTTCAGATGACAGCTCTGCCTGCTGACATCTCTTCCCATCACAGAGCTGGCTAACTTAAGCTTCTGCTCCTCTGGTTCCTGATGATTTCCAGTCCCATTCCAACCTCTCTGAAAAAAAACAATTAGTTTTAGTTTGGATCTCTCCTCTGCCTTCCTGCTCGTGGGTGGAGAACGATTCACCCTGGTGCTGTGAGGGCATCCATTCCAGATGGAGTGGGCACTGCCTCTGGACAAAAGCTCATCCATCCCCCATCAGGAGTGAAGCTCAGAGGGCAGCTTTGGAAGTGGTGACAAGAGTGGCTCAACAGAGAGCCTCCACTTTTCACCAAGTGAGTTGCTTTGGCTTGTGCCTTGCTTGAGAAATCAGAACACTAACCCCAAGGCTTGGTTAGTAAAGGATTTGTTGCTCTTTTTGGAAACTGTTGTGATTACATTGCGCCATTTCTGAGTCTACATCAAGTATCCAGGGCATGATCCGAGACTAGGGTAAGGCCTTTGCCAAAAAGTATAGACTCACTCTTTCCAGCTGAGTCATACCAGCAGATAAAGCTTTTAAAAAAATTGAAATAATAGTGGCAAGGCTAAAAAAAAACCCTAGAGAAGTTAATCCCTGCTGCAAATAGGTCTTAAAGTTTGAGCAGTTATGGTTCTTGGGTTTACGACAGAGGGTTGGCATCTGGGAAGCTGGTCTGCTGTTGCTTTTCTTAGCTGAACTCTTCAAACTTGTCACTTGATAGTTCTTCCCCTCTCTTTTTGTCCCAGTGCTTTAGATGCTGTGTATTTTTCAGCAGCTGTTTTGGGTGCTGTGTGATACTTGAGTTGGTTTTGAGCACACGCTGGCAGTGTGAGGCACTGCCCGCACACATCAGTTAGAATTTGTGACAGGGTTTTTGATTAAAACAATTTAAAGCTGACAGGTGAGCATTGTAGGTAAGAAACACATCCCTGAGGCTTCCTCTTCAGTTTATGTGCACTGGATAACTTGAGAGACTTTTATCTAACCAGTGTGGCTTTTCATCACAAGCAGAGACTTCAGCTTTTGGGAAAGGGGGAGGATGATACCAGCACGCCCCAATAAAAAGGTTACTCAGTGTTTTATTGCAGACCTTTCAGCTCTCAGCCTGGGAGACTCTTTCTGTAGCATCTGCTGGGAGAGTTCTGTGTGGACAGCACT